GGAGGGAGCCCGAAGCAGGAGTGGGCATTGTTGTTTTCTCCCCTCTCAGTCTATTCTCCCCTCTCTCTCCTTCATCTGTGTATGATTTCCCACCTCATTCTATCTGGACACACTTATGATTATTTGACATTCATCAGCAGGTTGATTTTTATGGACTGGCATTGTTGACAAGTATCTTCAAGATCTGGGTTCATTGCAATTTGGTATCGGAGCTATACTTCCGATAATGTGACAGACTACGACGACGACTTTGAAGTGGTGACGTCTACAACAGAGAAGCTGACGTGGACAAGAGTGGAACAACGCACGTCAGGTGCTGACGTGGCATTGGTATTCCAAGCAGAGGGGAACCAGCAAGGATAGCGCTGCAGTTCTGACGTGGCCGGTGGTTGATAGAGGAGTGGTGACGTGGCATTACTGACTCACCACTCGTTATTGTGGTGAGAGATTTCGGGCTGGCGTGGCATTGTCTGACGTGGCATTGTCTGACGTGGGACTCCATTACCTGGCTAACGTGGCATTGTACGGCGCGCTGGTACCGCTCCTGACGTGTATTCCATTAATGTTGCTGACTGGACTATTGTGCTGACGTGGCAGACACAAGTGCTGTTGTGCTGGCACACTAGGGGATACACGTGGCAGGCAGGAACTTGATTTCGACATCAACGCACACTGCTGATGTGCACCCCGTTGATGACCTTGATTGGACCTGCTGACCTGGCATACTCTTTGAGTTGCTGAGTTGGCATGCCAAGGGTGACACGTGGCAGGCACGGTCGTGCCTAAGTAAGAGTTGCATTCTGATGACTGAAGCGGCACGGCTAGAAGACTGACGTGGCTGTGGTGCCAAACGTCAGATTGGGAGCTGATCACACAGGACAGAAGAAGAAGTAGCAACAAGGGGGAAACGCTAACTATTATTGTGGTATTGTTGGCGGACTTACCTGTTGTCTTGGCTGCGTTGTGTGCCTGTATACTTGTGTGTGTTGATGATCATGCTGGCCTGAGTCGCGGTACCTGAGACAGAATAGAACATCATCACATTGAAAATAGAACAGCAATTAGAATTAGTAAATTTTTGTTCCCTGTTATTAAAACTTTTTGTTCAGATAGTGTGCTGGTTCGTGTGACCGTAAAATTATTCTCTTTATTTTTGCGGTAGAACAACCTGGCCGATGAATTTTCCTGTTTTTGTCTTCCGAAAATGTCTTACTTCTGGAAATGTTTGCAAAAGTCTATTCTGACGAGATTCGTGACCACCTTCTTGTTTCCTATTCCAATCACGCTCTCCGTGGGGGAAGGACCGTCTGAGCTTAGGACTCGGAGGCAGGCTGAGAATAAGAAAGAAGAATTGTTGGCCCTATGGAACCAGTTCTTGACTGAAGTACATCTGTCTGGACCGGATGTTGAACAACGCATCCGTGATAGCCTTGATTTGCAGACGGTTGAAGACCGTCTAAAGAAATCTATCACGGTTGTGGAGGTTGTGGCAGCCGGGATTGAAGCTTCAAAACTGATTGCTCAGAGGCGACAGGCGTTAGACCAGTTTGCTTTGAAGCAACTGGAAGATATAATGGAAGCAATTCGTAAAGGTGAAACAAAGCCAGAAGTAACTGAAGCTACGATTGATGCTAATATCCAGCAGTTAAGAGATACCTTGGCTGCGGAAGAAAGAAAGAAAGAAGACTTGGCCAGAAGAAGAGAACAGGAACAGAGAAGAGGATAGAGAGTTAGAGAAATTAGACAAGTAATTGGAACAGAAGTGGGAGAACAAACTGACATGTCACAAACATTGTCTCACATTGTGACATACCTTACCTTTCTGGAAGAGAAAATTGTCAGACAGCAAACTCAATTAGATGAGATTGTTGTAGGATTGCGAACAATTGCAAACATTGTGAAAGGAAAGAACCAGATACAGGGTGAGGAAAAACAAGAAGAGAAAGAAGATAAGAAAGAAGTGAGAAAGTTGATGGGAGATGCAATGAAGTCTGCTGGTCCCACGATTCAGACGACGTCCAATGGGAATGAACCCCCGAGTCAGCCATCTTCTCCATCTCGCTCTTCTCATTCGACTCCTTCTCATAAGTCTTCTCCTTCGACAACTCCGGTTAAGACGAGTGCTGAACCAGAAAAGCCAAAGAAGAAAGAAAAAGTGAAAACGAAGTTGCCTTCTACGTTTTGTAACAAGAAAGAAGAGAGTCTGTTGCTTTGGATTGCTGAAATCCAAACGTATGTGAGAACCGCTCCGGTCGAGCCGGAGTCCCAAGTCGCATTCACTACCTCTTGTATGGGTGGTGAGGCCAAACAATGGGTGTTGGCCGATGCCAATGCCGCGGGATTCGAAGACATCGGCGAATGGGCAAAGACCCTGACACTGAAACAGTTCTTGGCAAAGACCAAGGACCGTTTTCTCGACAAGACAACGACCGACAAGGCATTTGACCAATTAACATCGATTGGTCAAAAGCATTGGACGTCGGTCGAGGCTTTGTCCCGTGAAGTCGATCGATTGTTGCAGGTTCCAAGATTGAACCTGCAAGACAGCCAAGTGTTGTACATCTACTCCCGCGCGTTGCCTGAGCCCATCCGGGGACACTTGGTCACCGAAGCAAAGTCAGGTAAGTACAATTATAGGCAATTTCGCGACCTTGCTCTGCAAAGGGAACAACCGACTTCTCAAGTCAAAAGTTCCTATGCAACCGTAGTTAAGTCTGGAGGAGGAGGAGGAGGGAGGCCGTACAATGGGAAACGAATCCTCTGGCGACAGAAGCGCCAGGACCACACCCTTGTCGTTTTTGACGACGGCACAGTGGAAAAGTGGCCGTTAGAAGATAATGATAACAACAGTGACTCCGGGAAGGGGGAAGTCACTGCTGTTGTGGCCAATAAGGGAGGGCCACCTAGAAGTGGATCAGGGAAGAAACCGAGACCGTTTCCATGGCACCCTGGCATTGCCGATGGGAAGCCGTGGTTGAAAATGGGAATGACTCGTGAGACTTGGCAGGAGCGCATGGACAATGCGCAATGTCTTAAGTGCGGCACACCGGGACATGTGATCGCATATTGCCCCATGATCCGTAACCCAAAAGCGAGCAGCTAGTAGGAGTAGCATCTGCTCCTACAGAGACTAAGGGTAAGGACGAACAGACAGGTAAGGCGCCTACGAACCCTTCCTACCCTTCTTCTCATATGGCAGAGGATGATTCTTCCTTAGCCCATCATCCAGATCGCCCTGACATTGTCTTATGTTCTGTCTCTCTGGATGACTCCCTTGATGAGCTAGGTAATGAATTGCTAGCCTTACATAGCTCACGGGCTCGAAAAGCAAAGTCCAAGGGCGAATTGTTGTTTGCAGATGTTGAAATCGCACGAACACAAGTTGGTGCGTTGTTAGACCCGGGATCGACGAGGTCCTACATCTCCGAGAAGGCAATCCGCAAGTTGCATCTCGGTATGAAGGTAAAAGACTTGTCTCGACCTATCACGTCTATGTTAGCAGACAAGAGTATGATCACTGTCTCTCAGTACGTTGATTGTATTGAGTGTCAGTTCAGAACGAGGGAAGGAAAGAAAATTGTGCATGAGTTATCTTTCCTCATAGAGAAGAATTTGCCTTTTGATATCATTCTCGGTATCGACTGGCACAAGGAAGCCAACCCGGACATGAATTTCAAAAGCAAGATTGTGCAACTCAAAGATGCACAATCTGAAATGAAACCAATTAAGTTATATCATAAGTCTGGCTCTGACTCTAGTTTGTTTTTTTGTTGTATGAGTTACCCAGCTTTCCGTTCGATGGTTTCAAAGAAAAAGTTGGAATAGGAAGTCATGTTGGTATTAGTAAAGAAAGTCGGTGAGTCTTTTTCTTCCTGCCCTCCGACTATTGAAAGTCTTCTTTCGGAATATAAGGATCTGCAGAAGGAACCTACCAAAATTATTGAAGGTGCTATTAAGCACACCATTGAGATTATTCCGGGTAGTAAAGTTCGCAAGGGCCCTATCTATAGAATGTCTTCCAGGGAACTTGAGGAATTGAAGAAACAACTGCAGGACCTTACTGACAAGGGATGGATTCGCCCCAGTTCATCTCCCTATGGTGCACCTGTCTTGTTTGTGCCCAAAAAGGAGGGTGAATTACGTTTGTGTATTGATTATCGAGGGTTGAATGCCGTCACTGTCAAGAACGCCGAACCACTTCCTCGCATCGACGACTTACTTGACCAACTGCAGGGTTGTAAGTACCTTAGGAAAATTGATCTGAAGTCTGGGTACCATCAGATCGAGGTGGAGCCCGCAGATCAATACAAGACTGCTTTCCGGACCAGGTATAACCATTATGAGTTTATGGTAATGCCCTTCGGATTGACTAATGCCCCTGCAACGTTCCAACGGTCAATGAATTAATTATTTCGTAAATGGTTGGATCAGTTCGTTATAGTCTATCTCGACGATATTCTCGTGTATAGTAAAACCTTAGAAGAACACAAGAAACATCTTCGTTTGGTGTTAAGTAAGTTGCGAGAGGGCAACTTCAAAATAAACCCAAATAAGTTTGAGTTCACTAAGTCTGAAGTTTTATACTTAGGACATATAGTGAACCAAGATGGCCTCAGGCCAGAGGAAAAGAAAATATCAGCTATTAGAGATTGGCCACAACCTAAGTCTGTGACCGAGTTATGATCTTTTTTTGGCTTGGCCAGCTACTATAGGAAGTTTGTATGGAACTTCTCATTGGTCGCAGCACCAATGAGGAGATTACTAAAGAAAGGAACTATTTGGTTGTGGGACAAGGATTGTGAGTCTTCGTTCAAGAAGGTAAAGTATGCATTGACTCACTACCCTGTTCTGAAAATTGTTGATCCATCTTATCCCTTTATCGTCACTACTGATGCAAGTCAGTATGGATTGGCGCAGTCCTTCAACAGAACGACGACAATGGTTACAGACCAATTGAGTTTATGTCTGCACGATTGCCATCAGAAAAGGTTGCCAATTCCACTTACGAAAGGGAATTGTATGCTTTAGTCTGCGCATTAGACACCTGTAAACACTACTTGTTAGGGAGGCACTTCACTGTGTACTCAGACTACTGTACTCTGAAGGGGATAAAGACACAGCCTAGGCTCTCTGATAAGTTAGTACGATGGTCTGCATTCATTGATACTTTTGATTTTGAGTTAAAAACTATCAAAGGTAAGTCTAACGTGGTTGCAGATGCATTGTCTAGAAGATGTGATTTCTTTGGTGCCATTGTCCCTTACCTGGACGTTGGGAGTGATTTGAAAAATAGAATTCGTCAAGGCTATGCCACTGACCCTATATGGAAACCTATTATGGATGTCCTTGCAAAAGACCGAACTCTACATCCCAACTATAAGGTAACCGATGGTTTGCTTTCCTTGTTAGACCAAACTGAACAGAGATTGGGTATTCCCCCCCACGGAAGAAATTAAAAGTCTGCTTATTGGGGAATGTCACGACGCTGAAGGTCATTTTGGTTTCAAGAAAACTTACGCTGAGGTTAGAGAACGCTTTGAGTGGAAGGGATTGAAAGAAGACGTACTAACTTATGTTCGTACATGTCTTGTGTGTCAGAGAAACAAACCCTCACATGAGAATCCATTTGGTCTTCTGAAACCATTACCGATTCCAAGCGAACCAGGTGAGTCTATCTCAATGGATTTCATGAGCCTCACCAAAAGTCGAAATGGCAATAGTCAAGTAATGGTGATTGTGGATCGTTTCTCAAAGTATGCTATGTTTATTCCCTTACCCGCAGAAGCAAGAACTGAACTTGTGATCCAGAAGTTTCAGATGCGATGGGTGACCGAGTATGGTTTTCCTCTCTCCATTGTATCTGACCGCAATGCCAGGTTCACAAGTATGCCATGGCAAAAGCTGATGGAAGCATACGGTACACTTCTAACCATGTCATCAGGACGACACCCTGAAACGAATGGACAGAGTGAACAGATGAACCGTTTGTGCCAACAGCTTCTGCGCATGTATGTGAGACCCGATCAAATTGATTGGGATGAGAACTTACCCAAGATAGCAAGTGCATACAATAGTAGTGTTCATACCGCTACAGGGCGAACACCTAATGCATTGCATAAGGGGTGGAAACCAAAGCGTCCCGTTGATGTGCTGACGAGGGACCAATTCCGTAGGTTACCTCCAGGGACCCGGGAATATGCAGTATTGTTTCAAGAAGACATTAAGAAAGTAAAGGATAATCTAAAGAAAGCTCAGGACCGGATGATTGAACAGGCTAAAAAGCATCGCCGACCATCGACGTTCAAGGAAGGTGATCTTGTCTGGGTCAAGTCTAAAGAGTTTTCGTTGGAAGAAAACGTATCTCAGAAACTTCTGCTCGTCTATTTTGGACCCTGGGAAGTTCTTAAAGTAATTGGGGATGCAGAGGGACCGTCTTACATAATTGATATTCCCCCTCACCTCAAAACATATCTTGTCTTTCATGCGTCCAAATTGCTACCTTATGTAGAAGGAAATGAGTTCCCACATAGACCATCTATGATTCCGCCAGACATGGATGGCGGATATGAAGTGGACAGAATCATAGAACATGGGTACTTTTCTACAGGTGCACGTGGACGACCTCAGAAGCAGTTCAAGGTACGTTTTAAGACTCAAGCACCATCTGAGGAAAAATGGTTTAGTAAACGAGAACTACTTGAAACTGCTCCTGATATTGTCGCTGCTTATGAACGAGGGTTAAGGTCTTAAATATTTCTGCGGTGGAACTCGAAAATGGGCCGCCAGGAATGCAGTAACCCTATTCAGAAGTAGCCTGGGGCTCATAACTTTGCCCCAAGAAACGCAGCCCTGAGTCTGTCGAGTGTGGTTGTGTGACCGAGCGCTACACAGGAAATTCAAGAGTCAAAGTCAACTTTAGAGTCAAAGGTACCGCACCCAGGCCCTTGGTTGGATACATTCACTTGTTGTGCGCAGGTACCCAGACAGCATCCACGGCGGGAGGAATACAGTTTCAGGCCGATCTGGGCCCTCATTCGCATCGAGATCTTGACGGCTGAGGCCTACAGCACCCGGGGTCCAGACCCCGCACCAACACTACATAAGAGTTGACTTCCTGGCTTGACGGTCATTCAGTCTTGCGTCAATGCTGACTTCACGCATTGACTTTGACGCTGTTGCGACGCTGCGACATTGGCTGGACGCTGGCTCTATGCTGGCATATGAGGAGAGACGTCGACGCGCTGCTGGCTGGCATGGTGGCTGGTTGGCGATTGTCTTCTTGGCATGATGACGTGGCAGCTGCCACACACCGCCGCTGACGTGGCTGCTGCCACCTGTACTTTGGCTGATGTGGCGGGGCTTCGTGATTGATAGTGCTGTTCGGATTCTTCGTCACTTCGGAAGGAGATCAAGACTGTGGGGTTATCGTAGATACGTACCTGGTTTCTTGATGACGACA